TGGAGATGGCCTTGGACTTGGCTTGCCATCTCCCTCTCCCCACCTGCCACAACTCGCTTGAGCTTCTAGCAAGCCTCTGCTGGGCTGGGTCCGCACCTCGGCTTCCCACCGCTGGGCTGGCAGGAGGGGAGTCCCTCGGGAAACACGGGGAGGGGAGTCCCTCGGGAAACACGGGAAGGAGAGCTGCGAAGGCTGATGGGACCCAAGCTCTACCTGAACCTGAGCAGCCTTGGCCAAGAGCGCCTAACAAGGGAGGGCACACCTTGTGGGGAGCTCCCACTCAATGTTCCTGGAGCACATCCTGTAGCCCCCAGCGCATCACACCTTCCCGGCCCCTGCCCTGGCTGCCCGTCCCCTCCTCTGACCCCAGAAGCGTGCCCTGGTGGCGAGCCCTGTCCTGAAGGAGACTGGCCCATCGTTGCCAGGGCCAGGGGGCGGCAGCCAGGCCGCTTGCCCCGGGGAGGAAGGCGGAGCATTCTCAGGCTGGCTGGGCCAGGGCCCCTTTCTCTCCATGAGATCATATCTGGGTCAAAGAGCACGTAAAGCTGGCAGGGCCGGGCGGTCACACAAAGCCCATTCAGCCCAGCCCCTATTCACTCACCTCGTCTCCCCCAGAGTCCGGGCCTCCGCGACCCCAGCGCAGCGCCTAAGCCCCGGCTTTGATGTCCAAGAACAGAAAACGGCGATTAAATGTTGTTTTAAAGAGGGAGTGCTCGCCGCCCTCCCATCTGTCAAGAGAAAGCTGAGGCCTGAGGGAGGGGAAGGGCGCTGGGGGATGGGCAAGGCAGAGGGCAACGTGTGTGTGTGTGTGTGTGTGTGTGTGTGTGTGTGTGTGTGTGTGTGTCTGGGGTGCAGGCGGAGTGCGGGGCGAGGCCCAAGAGAAGAAAGGGTTGGATGGTGTGGGGGAGTGGAGGCAGGCACTCAAAATCAAAACATATAGAATTTGGGCAAGGATTGTTTTCCAAGACGAGAAATATGAGGAGAGGGACAATAATGTGGGACAGAGAAGCAAAAGGAAGCTTCCGGAGAAATAATGAGGGGGCTGAGGAAGGAGAGGAGTAGAAATGAGATCGGGAGAGAGGAAGAAAGACAGATGAGAGGAGGGAGGAACGAAGGGGAGACACAGAGAAGAGCAGAGAGCAAAGAGGAGAAAGTGTAGACAGAGAACCCAACTTCTTGCCGCTGGAGGCCACTCTGCGACATCTATTCCTCTTCCGAGGAAAGTTATCCTCGAAGTTAAGTGAAGCTCCAGGCAGTTCTCAGCTCAGCTCAGCACCCCACGGTCAGACAGAACCGGGCCTTGGCCTTGGCCACCCTCCCCTGGCAGGCTGGGCAGACTGCATGCAGGTGGGGACAGCACACGGGTGATGGTTCCCAGTGACTTCCTCTAAGGCTGGAGGTCAGCCCTATGCTTGGCACAGGTTTGCCACACTGGTGTGACCCACTGCTGCGATCATGGCTTGTGTCCCCTAGATCTTGGTGAGGAGATGGACCATTTTGGTCGGAGACAGGCAGCTGGGATGGCCGTAGGAAGAGGCGCTCAGCACCATGTCTAAGGTGGGGTGAACTGGTGGCTACAGCTGAAGATCAGCCGGTGATGCTGCCATCCCCAGCAAGAGGAAAGGAGAAAGGGCTGGAGAAGAGGCCTTGGCCCAGGGACAGGGAGATGAGACCGGGGTTGGCAGGTACGGTGCCATGGAGCATGGAAACCCTTTATTCTGTTCTTCTGTTCAGGATGACGCCAAGCTTGTGCCCCTACCTCCCACCCGTGCCCTCCCTGCACAAGCCAGCAGCTCCAATCTCCTTTCTCAACAGCTGTTGGCTGCCACAGACCCAGGGACCTTTAATTGGGTGGAAGCTTCTTGTTGAGAAATTTCTGAAGTTTGCTTAGCTGCTAGGAATAAGTTGTGAGTGTCTCTGTCAAGAGTAAGAATAAGCCTTGGGCGTCCTGGTATCAGGAGATGTGGGTGTAAATTCTCACCGCCGCTCACCAGCTGCGTGATCCCAAGCGAGTTATCCCAACACGGCAAGTGGGTTCTGGCCCAGCGACCTGCCAGTGTGCCAGCTCCACGAGCGCAAGGGTCTGTCTGTGTGGTTCCTTGCTGTATTCCCACTGCCGACAGCAGTAACTGCTACGATGGTCTTGCTGAGTGAGTAAACGAGCCAACGCCTACGTGGCACGTTGTACCAAGGATCTGATGATATTAATGTATTTAACAATTTTTTAAACCAAAATGTATTAGAAAAATGTTATTGAGTGAGTTTGTGCCTTGTAAATGTGGCCTAAAAGTGACGCATAAATAAGGCTGAATGTGTGTGACATAGCTTTCTCTCGCCCTGTCCTCAGACAGAAATGTCAGCTCCTCTACCACGCTGCCCACCCAAGAAAAGGCAGAAAAGACAGAATACCTCAGAAAACAAAAGGGGGGACACTTCAAGCCAGAGACAACTGAATTAACTTTATTCTCTTCTAACTGCAGATTCAAGGTATACAACTGAACATTGCTATTTTTCTTATGAGACTTATAAATAAAAATACAAAAAATGTTCACTACAAAAAAATCTACTGTTAGTAGGATGTAAAAAATATTCTCTTTGCTATAGAAGGCACAAACTTCACTTAGTGACACATGGAGAGAGAAAAAAACCTGCAGCAGTAAATTCATTTTTTCCTTTTTTTTTTTTTCTTTTTTTTAAATCTTGTCAGAAACACTGAAATTACAAAGAAACGCATCAATCTACACGAAACGAAGGCAGATGCGGAAAGCTGCAACCAGGACCGCACAACTTCGAGTGAACTGCTTCGGAACTAGAACAGATAGGACTGCCAAGCACGACTTTGGGGAGCAGGCTGGGGAGGGGCGGGGGGGTGAGAGGAAGGAGAGAGGGAGAAAGTGGAACAGACAGAAATCAGGGTGGGAGGGGAGGGGAGGGCAGGGGGGAGAGGGAGAGAGAAGGAAAGAGGGGTGGGGGGAGAGAGATTGATTTGTACAAAAAAGTAACCAGTAAAATCGAAGAAACAAAATTGGGCAACCTCCTAAAATTAGGCTAAGAGGAGGTGCTGAGGTAGACATTAACTAGAACATCGATGAATTAAAAACACTATTCTGTAATACAGAGCAATCCGACTGGCACTTGTGCTGTCACGACGTAAGACAAGCCACAAAAACAAACAAATAACAAAACAAAACATAATACCCAAACCAAAAGGCTTAGTTTTGCTTGGTCCAGCAGGGCAGCAGGGCCCTCAGTGCTATAATTTACATACATATATATATATTTATCTTTATATATATGGGTCGGATGTCATGGTGCACCACCACGGCTTCTTAACCTTACGAAGATCATGCATAACACTATGTGAACAAATACTATGATACACACCGGGAGGCTGGTACCCTGTCTGCGAAATGGGATGCCAAGGACCCAGGGAGGCCGCAGCTGCTGGCTGCCAGGCCTGCGCCCCTCTTTCTCCCCACCCTTTCCCCCCGACCCAACCTCCCTGGTTCTCCTGTGCCCCTCTCTTGGCCATCTCTGCCTTCTCCCTGTACCTATCAGTCCCACCGCACAGGGTTAGTCTGGCTTTCCGTCCTCCCACTGAAACACCCAGGTAAGTGCCGCCATTCCAGCCAAGCCAGCAGAAGCTCCAGGAAGGGAGAGATCAGGAGGGAGGGGGCGAGAGGACTATAGAATAGGCCTAGGAAACATGATCAGCAGACACCAATCTTCTTCTGCTTTTCTGTCTTACGTCCTGGTGCTCCTCGTTTTCATCCTAGTCCGGCTTGCCAGCGAATTGGCCAGAAATCCGCACCCCTCAACCCCTCACGGACAGAGTCCAAAGGCCGCCACAGCTCTGCTCACTTCCCCATACGGAGGTGAGCCAACGGCCCTCTCCCACCCACGGCAGTTGTACACAGCATCCAGAAAGGTACCATACACTTGTGAAAAATTGCAGCAGGTTTTTTTTTTCTTTTTTTTTTTCTAAACACGGAAAAACTGTTCAGGCACAAAGATTAAACAAGCCCGCGTTGCATCCCTGGATTGTACTGAATCACTGGGTTCCCCAGCCTCCCTACCCACCCCTGTGCCCCAGATCTGCCTTCCCCATATTCATGGCCTCCTCCTCCTCCAAAGCAGCCCAAAGCAGCAATGATATTTACTATTTTATATCTCTCTCTTGCTATATATATATCTCTCTCTATATATATTTGTCTATCCTATATACACATAGGATTTTAATGCTTTGAATGAGTGAAGGAGTGAACAGGGAAAGAGCACGAGTGCGGGGGGAAATGTCACCAAAAGCATTAAGGGACACACTTGTAGGAGCTGGGCGTGGGGAAGGGATGATTAATCAACTTGGACTCCCCAGGCTAGAGAAGTTTCGCCATGCTGGATAAGGCAGTAGTAGCAGGCAGGGTAGCCAGCAGTACCACAGCTGAAGGCAGCGAGGTGGCCAAAGGAGCCAGACGGCAAAAGAAGAGGGGAGTGACAACACTAAGCTCTCACCTGGGGAGAAAGCCACCTCCACCCTCCCGCTTGCCCCATGGCTTTTACTCCTGACACACCTAAAGCCTTCAGACAGTCTCTCACCTGCCCCTTGGCCATTAGGCCTCGCCAACAAGGCCTTGGCAACTGTAGAATTGTTTTGTCTTTGTGGGTGGGAAGCTGGGCAAGAGGCATGTTGGACTGCATTTGAGCGTCTTCACGGAGAGCGGAGGGGACAGCACAGCCATGAACAGAGGTATCTCTGCGCAGGTGTCCTCAGAAGCCACACTGCCCTGAGGTCTCCCTCCCTCTCTCCTGGCATCTGCAGAGCCCTCAGGCTCGGGTGGGGCAGGCAGGTGCTGACTTAGTACCATCTAATGCTGCAACACCAGATTACGACAATACTGCATGATGTAACACACAACCGCACACACAAAGCACACGCGCGCACACACGTACAGAGGGATATTTTGGTGGTGGTGGCGGTGAATTATTTTTTGTCTTTTTTTTTTTTCCTATTCACATTACAAAAGGAAAGGGCAAGGTTCTGCGGAACTGACGAAGGAACTAACAAATGTTACAAAAATATTACAATTTGTAAAGATTAGCTCAACCCTCTCAGCTTTTGTGAATGGGGAGGAGGGACCCAGGCTGAGTGGGGAGGGCAGGGGAGTGAGGGGGCCAGCTACTTCTATGGAATAGTTTGATTTTTCTTTTCTTTCCCCACCCAGGTTGAATGACATCTTGCTGTTAAAAATACTGTTTTCTGGGATTTACAGATCCCCTGAGGGCCAGCTAGTCCTCCCTTCTTCCCAGAGGAGGGGGGAGGAAGCCATAGTGCATAATGATTTCTTACAGACTGCCCCTCCCCCAAACGAGTTCACTCTTTTCACATTATAGACATGACAACTGTCCTAGTCACATATTTCAAGTTTAACTTTTTTCCTTTCCAAAACGCTACGTCGTTATTATAGTTGCAAAACAGCATCCTCCCTACTTCATCATCCCTAATTGACAGTCTAGCGACGTAGTCCCCCAATTCACATCCCCCCAACATACAATTTTTAAGGCCTTCAGATTTGGCGGATGAGATTGAAGGGGAGGGCAGGAGGGACGGGGCCGAGGGACAGGGGGTAAGTCACAGCAGCACCCATCCCTAGCTCCCCTATACTCCTCACAATCCTTCTCCCCAAAACCGCTTCCCTAAACCACTTTTTAAAACCTAAGATCAAAACGCAGCCACAACTTTCTCAGCGAGAGAAAGGAAAGAAACAACAAAAATAATAAAAACTCTTACACATAAAGCATGAGATGAAACGGAGGGCGCCCGTCCCAAAGCAAACACAAATATTGCAAATGTGCTTTCCAAAATTCAGGGGGAGGGTGGGGGAGCGTGGGGCAAGGACAAGGGGAAGAGCAGCAGAGGCAGGCAAGGAACAAAAGAACGACTGGACAAACATAAGAGGTAGCTTTTAGAAAAATAACACCCCCACCCAACACAACAGAATAAAGGCTGATCGCCCCCGACCAGCTGTGAAGAGAGACCAGTTTTGGCAACGATAATGCACGCAGAGCTGGGGCCACAGAGTTGCAAGGATCTGAGTAGTACATGCCCTCAAATTTGAATGACCAACCTCGGGGAAGAAAGGTGGGATTTTCTCCAGAGTGTTTTGGGCTGATCTGATGCTGGGCACAGGTGACTCCATGCCCCGGGCAGAGCCAACAGTGACTGCTGAGTGCATGCCCCATGGGGACACTGAGGCCCCATGCACTATCCCTTCCCTACCCACCTGCTCTGCCCTCCCGGCCCTCACACTAGATCCTGAGTGTCAATCCCTCCTGCACAAAGCTCCTTCCAGCTGGAGGCTAGTCTCCAGGGACTCCAGGAGGCCCTGGTCAGCTGAAGTCTATACAAACTACTATTAATTTATACAAGAAACAGAAAAGGACGCCCTCCCCATTCCTTTCACCCCCAACCAAAAAAGAGATACAGAGGTTAAAAAAGCTCATGAGGTCACAAAAAACCGAGGTAATTCAAGTACAATGTGCTAAAAGGGGACACAGAAAAGAAGCAAAACATAACACAAGGCCAAAGCGCTTTCAACTCCTCCTCCTCCTCCTCCCTGCGGGCTGAGGGGCCCTGTGAGTAGGGAATTCCACGTTACTCTCTGGACCTGGGTTTTCCCACTGAGCTCACCGTGTCTGGGATCCCCAGGGTGACTCGACACCTTCCTCCCCTGGCCAGCTAGCCCTTCCCTGGGCAGGATGTCCCTTCTCCAGGTGTAGGGCCCACCTGGAGACAGACATCCACAACTGTCCCTTGGACCAGGAGCCTTTCATGGATTCCTTCTCCAGGGACTGACGTAGGGCTGTGGGGGTTTCTGTTTGGAAGGATATTATATATTTAGCTGTTATGTTCTTCCCTTTCGGAAGCAGCTCAGCAGGGATCTTGCCCATGACTGGGCTTGCCTAGGGCGGGGTGTTCGATTTATTTAGTTTCGTGTCCTCAGAAGGCTAAGGGTGGGAGGGGCTCTGGAGTCCGACCCAGCTTTCCCACTGGGAAACTGGAGGCGGGTGCGGGGCTGGGAGCCCCCAGGACAGGACTTGGAGGACAGGAGCCAAGGGAAGGCCAGGAGCAAAGAGCTGGGGCAGAGGGCAGGAGCCATGAGGCTCTCGGAGGCCACAAGGGGACACCGGATGTGGCAGAGCAGAGGAAAGCAGCAGAGGGACTGAGTGGTGGGAAGAGAAAGAGAGCCCTTCCCCTTCCGAGTCTGCCCCCAGCGAACCAGAGCTGCCATGTGAGTGCCAACCGGTGACCCAGCCCTGCCGCCTGCAGAGAAGCCCCCTCCTGCTCCCCTCGGGTCACCTTCTGAGGGGGCAGGGGGAGGAAGGCGGGCAGGCAGAGACTGGCTCTGGCCAGAGGACCTCTCACCCACTGCCTAGCCTCCATCTCTGGACGTAAAAGGAGGGTCTGGGTAGAGAGGAGAAAACTATGCCACCATCTGAGTGAACAAAACCATCCCCACCCCAGAAAATCAGGCAAACCTCCAGCCGGGAAAGGAGGGCGGAGACCCCCAGGGAAGGGGCAGTGGCTTGGCATCCAGGTCACCTGGAGCCCCACAGAGAATCCAAGGCCAAACAGCTATCGGTTTTCCTTCTTTTTTTTTCTTTTCCTTTTTTTTCCCCCACAGTCCTCCCTCGACTCCATCTCGCTCTAATTTTCTTCCTTTGCTCCCTGCCCCTGCTCCAGGCCGGGCGCCCTTCACACATAGCACAGGTAGAGGTAAGTCTTCTCTATCCTCCAGTCGGGCGGGATCTCCTCGGGCTTGTGGCCCTTCATGTGCTTCTGCATGGAGGACAGGCTGGGGCAGTACTCCGTGCAGATGGTGCACTGATAGGGCGAGGCGCCGTTGTGCGTCCGCAGGTGCTTGATCATGGCCGAGTAGTCTCGGGAGCGCTGGTGGCACAGTTTACACTCAAAGGGCTTCTCACCTGGGGGAGGGGACAGGAGACAGTGAGGACAGGGAGGGGCACCACCGAAGACGGCAGCCACCAGTCACATGTGGCTGCTAACGAGGCTAGCGTGACTGGGGCCTTACACTTTTATTTCATCGTAACTAATTTAAATAGCCACATGTAGCTGGTGGCTACAGAATCGTCCAGCACAGCCCTAGCCCCTTGTCTTACCACCGTTAATTCTTCCAAAGTCACGGTCTTCGTCCTTCCTAATTAAGGAAATAAATGCCTAGAAAGGGAGGAATGAGGCCCCAGAAGCCTCTGGGGATGGTTCTTCAGGCCATAGTTCCATCCAGAGGAAGCAGATGGATGGAGGCCTTTCAGGGCTATAGATGGTGGGGATTGAGGTACCGGTAAATCCAGGGAACCTAGTCCTTCCAACATGCTGCCTCTGGGGGTAGCTATCCATCCTGCTAAAGCACTAGGACTTGCCCTGGACCCTGCCTTCGCCCCTGGGGTCAGGGAGGCCAGAGGGACAAAGAACCTGGGAGTTTACAGACACACCCTCGCCTGCTACCCCAACCTCCGCTAGGCTAGAGTGCCCTGGAGCTGAGCAGAGGATGTAAGGGAACCTCGTTTCAATACAGTAATTAACTGGCCAGCCATCTCGCCATCGATACTCCTCTGCACAGAGGCCCCAGCAAATAATGAAGTAATGAACAGCCAAAGTGATCTAACTATCGACCAGCTATTTACAATAGTCACTGCCAATGCATTTAATGATCCAACCACCAGGTCACATTCCCGACAAGGGGCTAGGGAAACCCCAGGGCTCTGGGAAATCCTCTGGGTCACGATAGCTGTCTGCAACAACACCCCATCCTCTCCTGGTGGGCCCAAGCGGGAGCCGAGAAAACAGAGCTGACAACACACAGCTCACTGCTCCCTCTGTCCAGCCCTCCCCTCCCACGGCAGCATACTCTCCTCTAAGGCAGCAGGACCTGCCTGAGGTCACCTCTCCCCCTTCCTCTGGACAGGACAGCTATCTCTCCTGCTCAGGGGAGGCTCCCTAGCTCGCCAGGCTCCAGCACCTCTTATCCTCCGAAGAGGCCTTTTGAATGTCTACCTTCCCCCAACCGGCAGTGTGCTGGTGCTATGTGTTCAACAACTGGCTCTCCAAAAAGCCCTGATTTGTAGCATTTGCTGACTGCTGTGTTGTAATAACTCCTACCGTGGCCAATTTTAAGTAACCCAGGTGATGTCACTGAACTCGAAGTTGGTAAGAAATGTGCAAATCAGCTTTCCCAAGCAACTACGGGCCAGGTCCAAGACTCTACTTTCCCCAACATGGGACATTCTGGAAGTCCCTTCCACTCATTCTGTCCTCAGACCCCAGGGAAAACAGTTGCTCACATTTCTTTTATGTAAAAAAATAATGTGAAGACACTTTGAGATGGTAAATCATTATACATACGCAGGGATTATTAAATACATCTGCTCCTCTAATCTCAGAACCAAACTTGACCTAACTTTACAATTTCCTGACCATCATGATAACCTAATTCAATGCACCCTAATTCTTACTCTAACCCCAGAATAACGTGCAACCACCCTAACCTTTACTTTCGGCCCGTCAGGCCAACTTAACCCTAATTCAGTACTCACAAATAGACATGAACTTGTACTTCTCTGAACTACTGGCATGGCTGCCTGGAGGGTTGGTCTGGGATCACCGGAGAGTGCGCAGTGATTGATTAGCAATGTCTGCCTTGGCCTTGAGAAGCGGGTGGTGGCACTCAGCCCTTAATAGAACCTCTTCTACTCTGTGGTTCGGCCTCGGACCATCCTCATTTGGGCTCCTCTGGGAGACCCCCTCCTCCCCACCCCACCCCACCCAGGTCCCAGAGCCAGCTGAGGTGCCCTCCCTGGCCCTCAGTACCTGTGTGCACCCTATAGTGCGTCTCCAGCTGGTGCTTGAGGCTGAACTTCTTGCCGCAGCCATTGCACTCGTAGGGTTTCTCACCCGTGTGGATGCGTTTGTGGCTCTTGAGTGTGCTCTCGTCCCGGAAGCAGCTGCCACAGAACTCACACTCGTATGGGTGATCACCTGTGGACACAAGGGGCTGGATCAGGCCCTTGCCTCTCCCTGCCCCCTCTTCAGGGGACAGTAGGGCACATTTGTGCTTCAGGAGGATGACACTGCCTGTATTCACCACCTCCAAAGATGACTAAAGGATCCACAGCCTCTGCCGGTCCCCGCAGCATAAACAGGTAGTACACTCGTTCACACGTGTCCACACTTTACCGTGGCTCAGTGTTTATCTGTAAGCAAGGGCCAGTCCAGGGAAAAGAGAGCCCACAAAATTCAGGAATGAACAGCAGTCCCCAGAAAGCAGGCCCCCATGAGGGTAGAGCAGCCTTGGAACCTTACCCTCCTGCTTCTCAAACTGCCTCTTCTCCCCTTCCTCTAGGTCAAGGGTAAAAGTCACTCCAGCTTGACTCCCCTACCTTCACAAAAAAAATCTTTCCAATTTAGGGAACTTCTCATTGTCTCCCAAATACCTTCTGCTCTTTCCTTCCTCCACTGTTTTACACAGCTGTTTCCTCTGCTTGATCTCCTCTTTTCTCCCTGTTGAACTCCTAATCATCCTTCAAAGCCCAGCTCAAATGTCACCCCTGTTTGGAAGTTTCCCTTTAGTCCCCCAGGTAGAATGAGTTACACTTCTTTCTCTGTCCCCAAAGAGAAGAGATGTCTAGCATTTTCTTCTTTTATTATTAGTAGTATAACTTTTATGGCACTTTCACATTCAGATGGCCCACATTTGCTGAGTGCTCACAACTCTGCTAAGAACTCCACACAGATCACATCACGTGATCACAGTAACAATCTTAAGGAAAGACATTACTTTTATTTTACAGACGAGAAAAATGAGATGCTTCAACATCATCTCCAAGGTCAAACGGTGAGTAAGTAGTTGAGCTGGGATTCAAGTTCTGGTCTGGTTCCCAAGTCTGGACCCTGTACACTTATCAGATTGCTAACTGCCACACTGTACTCCATCTACTGGCATGCCCACCACACCCCTAGAATGAAAGCACCTCAAGGGTAAGAAGCAAGCCTTATCCTTCCTTATGGCCTCAGTGCATCGCACAGTGATGGCCCAGACAGATACTCAGGAAATGTTGGGTACAGGCAACTTGGGGAGAATTGCCTTTTCTTGGTCTGGAATCTAGGCCCATCAGCCTCCTTTTTGGGCATATTGCTCTTAAATCCCCAGAGTGGGAGAAGTGGGGTGTGTATTACCCCTCTTGCATTTTATACCCAAAGTGGGGGGCTCGGGGGATGAAAGGTGAGGACTCCAGCTACTTATTTATTACAGGAGTGAAGGCGCAGACAATAAAGATAGATTGATCACCCCAGACTTTGTTCATGAATATTTAAATATCGCTGATTCGTCTTGTCACTGTAATTACAATTTCTCTGGGCTGCATCTCCAACAACCACAGTTTATGGTAAAGAATGGCCCACTGTATTTCACTTGTCCCTCTGCAGATGTGCGGGGCTGCCAACCGTGTAATGTCCTCTGCATTTCATACATTTTCTTCAGCTGCTGAAGGTTTAAGTCATCCACAATGACCTACGTTTTTTCATTATCCCCATGTCAAACTGCGCTCGTGCCTGGGCATAAATTGTCCTTCTCGTTATAGACTCACATGCCTGCGCCTTCACTTCCTCTTTAAAATGATATTTTACTCTCTCCTCTCTCTCCCCTCCTCAGGCCACTAACCAAACCTCCCCCTGCCCCCAAGGCAGGCCCCTGTACCCACATAAATTATCATCTCTTCTGTTGGCTCTGAAGGGTTTTTAAGGCTCTGTGGGGAGTGGAGGTGCTGGGGTGTGTTCACTGGCTGACTCCCTCATGGGTGAAGATTTGCCAGGAGCACTGAAGGCACGGGGGCGGGGCTGGACCTCCATCGAGGAATCAGACTGGAGAGGCTCAGAGAGCAGAGCCATGCCTTGATCCCACTGCACCCCAATCCATGGGGCACTGCCCTGGCTCAGAGGCACAGCCAGTGAGTCCCACACATGCAGACCTGGGGATGGGCTGAGTCCTAGGGTTCTCTGCTGGGGAAATCCGCACCTCGCTGCCGGAGCTCAGGGGACTGCCTGGCAACGCAGCCCCATTAGAGCCAGGGCGAGTGGAGGCCCGTGCAGATCTGGTACTAATTAGCTGTGTGTCTAACAGAGTGTGGGTCAGTCTGTGTGTGCATGTGCCCAGATGCCACTCTCTCTGTGTGTCTGCACTTGTAGCCCCGTCTGGTCTGACATCTACCTCCCCCGCCTTACCAGATCAGCAACGATTACGACTTTAATCAAAGATTCAGTATCCTCATTAAGATATAAATAAATAAATAAAGCCAGGGCCACGTGAGACTTCAGCCGGAGCTGGTAATTAAAACACACATCGGCAGCCACCCAGCCGGGAGACGAAGGCGGCGGGGGTGGGGTGGGGTGGCTGCCTGTGCCTTTCACCCCCGGGGGAGGGCCCTAAGAGTTTAAAAAACAAAGGGTTAAGACAGAGGGGTTTGTTTGATCAGTTTTTTATGAATTTAATTAGGAAGTGGATCACATGTTAAATGAGTTTAAATAGGAAATCTCCTGTGTCTGCCCGGGGAAAGGAATAAAAAGAACTTAGAAGAAAAAAGAAAGAAAGTCGCCAGCACACACATATCCCCCACCCAGATTTGGAAGCCTGGTAAGCACCTGGCCTGAAACCCTCACCCCCGAGGGTTAATCGTGTCAGTGGTGCCATAATGTACACAAAACTGGCTGCAGAACTCAAAATCCAATTTGTGGTATGTTGATTAACTCTGTAGCCTCTTTAATGAGCTTGACATTAAGTGCAGGACAAACGAGACTAATTAGAGCCCCCTTCGGCCCGCACAGTGCACCTGTGACCCCCCAACCTCCAATCTGTCCTTACTTGGCGGTTTCCCTGGCTCTGGCCAAGCCCAGTGTCGTCCTCCCCACCCTGGCCCCATCCCATCGGCTCCTCAGGCCCTTCCCTCCGGGCCCCTCCCTTCGGCACAGCTGAGAGTTTATTATATGATGAGCCGTGTGAATCAGGGATCCGTCAATGCCAAGAGCGCGGCTGGACTAACCTACCAAACACAGCTGCCGATGCTAAACACCCGGCCCCAGCAGCAAATGGGCCAAGAACAACGGAATATTAATGAGCCATTGTGTATGGGGTGCGCACAGCCTGTATATGGCTTGTGTGCGCAGTGCCTCGCTGGTGTGAAAACCGATGGGTATCTGTGTGTGTGCATGGGCGGCGCACATGCTCCCTGTTTCCCAGAATAAGCAAGAGCTTCTCTCAAACTCTGGAAATAGCCCCTCCCCACGGATCTGAGCCATGCCTGACACAAGGGCACGTGACATTGAGATATCTGAGCTCTTAGAAGGTAGCACAGGCAGAGCACGGAGTATCCTGGGTGGATTTAGCAGTGTTGGGATCCTTCAAGTCACGCGAAGCCAACTGATTTGACCCTACCCTCTGGGACCTCACCCTGTCCCGTCCCAGCAGTTTCAAGTAGTTCTGAGCCAATCTGGTGGTGCTAGGGCAGCGCACTGCCCTGAGCAGAACGGTGTGTGGAAGTGAGAGCCCAGGCAGGCTGCTTGGTGAGGATGCCCACTGCCGGCAGACAGGCCAGCCCAGTCCACAGTAAGTAAGTACAGCCCTTCCCTTATTCGCAGAGCCTGCCACCCATGCAAGGCCTCGCCTGTACACTCGATCTCTGAGCTCTGACGAGACTCTCAAGAATGAGGAGTGGGGGTGGGGGCGACCATTCCTCTCTGAGGCACACAGAGGCTTTTATACTTTTATACCCTCTCCAACAGACCCAAGCACATACTCTGTTACATGCCCAGATGGAGACCTGTCCCCCCACAAACACAGCACGGAACACACACAGGCAGAGACACCTGCAGACCCAGACATGGGCATTCCTTTACCCTGGAGCAGTCAGCACTGCCTCAATTTTGTCTTAGAGAAACGAAGGAATTGAAGTCATCCATTCCCTTGCTAGAGGAAGACCCAGGGCTGCTGCAGGGAAGCAAATACCTCCGGCCCTCAGGGACCAAGTGTCCCATCCCCAAACCTAGAGGGTGGTGGCAGGGAGTGGCCAGGACCTGGGCACCTGGCCAAGCCTCCTTGACTCATAACCCCTCTCTCACCCGATCATCTGGAACTGGCTGAGCAGGGTATTTCACGGCTCATTGTTCGAATACCCCCACTGTCTTCCCTAAACAAGGTTAAGGCCCAAGCGCAGGCCTCCTGTTATTGTGGTGAAAGTGGGACCACTTCTTCAACATGCCCTTGAAAGCCCTCAGCAATGTGTGTGGATGGAGGGGCGGGGCAAGAGACCAGCAGGTCCGTTTTTCCCAACATGCATCTCGGTCCACCGGCATCCGAATCCCCTGGGAATACCTACTACCAACACTGGGGTTTGGATCCCGTCCTGGATTCACGGAATCAAAGCTTCTGAGGATGAGACCCAAGAAGCTGCCTTTTTAATGAGTGTAATCTGGGCTGAGCATGGAAAGACTGCAAACCGCTGGGCCACAGGAGGGGATCGGGAGAAGAACTGTCAACATGTACCTAGGCTACAGGAAGCCCCTCCATGTTCAACCCTTGAGCAGAGAAGGGCTGGGGGCTGACTCAGCCTGGCACCTCCACTTTGGAGGTAAATCAGATACTGGTTCCCAGAGCCCCTGACCCACCCATCACCTGGACTGGCCTACCTGTGTGTGAGCGCAGGTGGCGTTTGAGGGCCGTGTGGCTGGGGAAGGTGCGGTTGCACTCGCTGCAGATGTAGCTGCGCACGCCCGCGTGGACCTCCATGTGCTGCTGGAGCGCACTCTGTGCCTGGAACCGCTTCCCACACAGCAGACAGAAGACAGCCATATCTGTGCCTGTGGGAGACAGGAGAGGGGAGGCCTCAGGAGGGTGGAATGACAAGGCCGATTCTTTGTTCACGTAGAGCACAAGCCAGCTTCGGGACTGCCACCTCCAGAACCTCATGCTCAGGGGCAAACCCAGAGGCAAGCCTGAGCTATGCAACGCCGACGGAGCACCCAGTAGGTGATCCTGGTGGTAGACAAAACTGACGTACATCCTGCCCTTCTGGCACCTGAAGTCCGGTGGGAGAAAGACATTAATCAAACACATCACAACAGCAAGTGTGAACGTGCAACTGTGTCGGGTGCCATGTGAGAGAAGGCAGGGTACTAAGGGCCCGTATCAGATGGGCTTTACAGAGTCTGGGGGAGGAGGCGGGGAGCCAGCGTGGGCCCCGCAAGGCATAACAGTAACAGGGATAACATGGCCAGCTACTGTTCCAATGTAACTAATATAAATCCACAACTCCAAAAGGTAGGCTCTATGGATCCTCACCCTTCAGATGAGGAAACCAAGGCACGGAGAGATTAAGTAACTTGCCCAAAGTTCCACGGAATGCTTAAGTGGCAGAGCTAGGATTCATACACAGGCAGCCTGGATTTTAATCCTCTCCGAGGCCAGCTACAGATGCTGTTCTTTTAACCACGTCTCCATTCACTGCAGCTCCAATCTGAAGGATCCGTGCATTCAACAAATATTATCTGGTACCTTCTACAAGTAGGACTCTCCTTTTGGCACTGGGGATATAGCCACGGAAGACTGAACAAAGTCCCTGCTCTCATCATTGAAGGGGGGATCCAGAAGACAGAAGAGTGTCTGCGAACACTTTGGGCTGGAAAGATATGTGGTGGGTGGGGGGATCAGACAGAGGAATGGCACCGCGTGGCTGAGGAGGCTAAGAGGAAGGCAGGGAGGGGCCAGGTCATGTGGGGTCATCAAAACCATGTCAAGAGCTGTAGGTTTCATCCTAAGCCCAATGGGCAATTGTCAAAGGATTTTAAGCTAGTGAGTGACATGAGATTTTCATTCCATTCTGTCCAGTTGTTCCCTGTGCTGGTCAGCAGCATAGATACCCCACAGGACCCCACAAATACAGGCTGCTTTGTTACCTGTCCTCTTCCAATGCTGCTCTGGAGCCATAGCCTTTCTGGCTGCAGCACCCCACAAGGAAGTCTCTAACCTCTCATTTGAGTCCTCACTGGCAGCTCGCTGCCCGCCATCGAGGACTCGGTTTCCCCAAGTACGTCAGTCCCACCGCAGGCTCATCTGTATGCCTCTCTGTGTTGGGAATGTCCCCTGGGTGAGGGACACAAGAAGGGAAGATGGACAGGCCTGGTGCCCGTCAACCCAGTCTGGAGTGTAGGGCGGGCCAGAGCTTCCGCTGCTGGAAGCCGGGCCGCTTGATGTGGAATCAGGGTGGAAGGCGGGGTGAAGAGAAGGGAAGGCGTGAAGAATCTCGCTGCCTTCCCCGTCTACTGATGGAGACGGCAAGTGAGAGGTCTGGTCCTCGCCACCCCAGTCCTGCTCACAGCCAGCTTTGGGATGGACCCCAGGGAAGGCACTGCCTGCCTCTTGCTTCCTCCACCCTTCTGCCCCTCACACCCGCCCCATCCCCTCCCTTTGCAGACACTGACGTCCAGGCCCCTGGCGCCACGCCCATCCCACCTGCAGTCAGGAAGGCTGAATCAGAGGGAATACAGGCCTCATGCTAGGTGCTTCATCTATCTTGTCATCTCATTTAAAACTTGCAGCCCTACAAGGCAGGCACTCTTATCCCCCTTTGACAAATGGGAAAACAGAGAGATTAAATGACCTGCCTAAGGTCACACAGTTAGAGGCAGAAATGGGATCTGGAAATACCTTGGTTTGTCTGATTTCAGAAACCACGAGGCTGGGCCCAATTTTACCTCTGGGCCAGAGACCTGTCTGTCTGAGATTCCCCTAGAAGAGGCCCAGTAGGGACAGTACAGAGCACCAATGCATCCAGCAATGACTCAAGAACCCTGGGCCGGGGGGAATGGATGGGAAGCTGGGGCTGGGTCACAAGGCACAGTTCTCTGAGGCCTTCCACTCTCTGCTGGGAGCCAGCAAGATCTCCTGGAGGTATTGAGTGGGTGCTCGGCTCCACTTGATGGAGGGGGACACACCAAGGGATGTGGTCTGCCCACCTGGGCAGATGCAGCACCCCGGGGCTGACAGGGAGTCCCTTGAGGTCCCGCCCCACTGGGCCAGCATGCACAGGCGTGGAGTCCAACTGCAACACATTCTGTGCACGGCAGCCCCTGCTGCTTCAACTTGAGGCCCCCAGCACTGATCCCCTCCCTGCCCTTAACCCCAACCCCATGGAGAGCCCCGATTAGGCCAGGCATTCAAACAGCTGCTTTAAATCAGTCAGATGGAGCCAGCTCCCTGGGCAAGCCATGCCCTTTAAGAGCCAAGCCTTCTCCTTATGCATCCCCAGCATGGAAGGAACCTGGGTCAGAGGGAACATGAATGGCACCCCTGCTAGGAACCCAGCAGCGCTCTGCCTTCCTGGTCTTCCCAAGGCCCCTCGAGGCATCTGCACTACGCCATCCCTACTTCTCAGGATGGCCTGAGCCCACCTCATGTCCACTCAGCTGACTCACTGAACGGCTACCACGTACGGCACTGTGCTAGGTGACTAGAAGCCTGCTGAGACCGAGCAGGGAAAGTGGCTCCCGCACTAGTGGGGGATGCCAACAAGTCGACAACCATCCAGAGGATAAATCAGGTGACTCCCAGAGGGCTCCAGAGAAGATTCTGAGTTGGGCTTTGAGGAAAAGACTATCTGGGAAGCCGAGGACCAGAAGGTAGGGCACATGGGCCAGGCTAAGGAGACGCTGCAGGTACATTTCAGAGCAGGCAGGGACAGAGGACAGGCCCCTACCTGCTCTGGAGACGAGCTGCAGAGGTGCTGGGGGTTGGATCACAGAGGGCTGCACGCACCAGGTAGGACAGACTGACCCCATGCTACAGGCAGTGCAGGGCCACGGAAGGACTGGGGGTTGCCATGGTCCTAATGTTGGTGTCCCCTCGCTCTAATTCCTATGTTGAAATCCTAACCCGCAAAGTGATGGTGTTAGGAGGTGAGGCCTCTGGGGGTTGATTAGGTCATGAGGGTAGGGTCATGAATGGGATGAGTGTCCTTATAAAAGAGACCCCAGAGAGCTAGCTAGCCCCCCTTCCACCACGTGAGGACACGGTGAGAAGTGAGCCATCTGCAACCTGGAAGAGGACCCTCACCAGAACCCAATCATGCTGGCACCCTGATCTCACATCTCCCAGCCTCCAAAACTGTGCGAAATAAATGTCTGTTGTTTAGAAGCCACCCAGTCCCAGTCTATGGTAATTCATCCTAGCAGCCCGGACTGACTAAGACAGGTGCTGCTAGCGGATCCAACCTGTATTTGAAGGCAGTGCCTCTGGGCACGAACACAGTGGCAAAGTGGCTGGGAGCAGGGAGAGGGCTGACGGCTTCTGTGCTGTCACCAGGGAAGGGCGGGGACCAGACCAGGGCAGAGACTGCGAGGACAGGGGGTGGGGTGGAGAGCCAGAATCTGGGAAGGTGGGATGACAGGACCCGGGGCTTGGGCTAGAATGGGAAGAATGTTGCACATAACGTCCCAGATGGCCGGGTCTGCACCTGGCCGACAGGCTGAAAGTCACACGCTCACCACCTGCAAAGGAAATGTGACGATGTCCCTACGATGGTCTCCCTTTCCTGGGACATGCCGCAGGCACAGGGGCTCTCCCTGGTCACTTATCCACCCACCACGGCTCACAGGGAAAGACCAGGGTCTCTGAGGCTCTGTATCCACTTAATCCATTCTTCTGCTTGGACACCAACAGCTGTGATGATGGCAAAGTATTAAAAAAAAAAAAAAAGAGAAAAAGGAAAGGGCGGGGGAGAAGTGGATGAGACACAAGGAAAGCCATTGGTGCGTGTAAGTTAAAAATCTAGAGACTAGATTTGAGTTATTAAACAATTTGCTGCCGTTTCTGCCTAGCTGATTGTTCGCATGTATGATGAGTCAGGGCAGATTCTATTACACTGGGAGATTAAGCAAATAAATGCTAGCTTTTGGAAACACATTAAAATGTGGGACTATGGAAATAAAATTATCTAGAAAATTGTATTAGCAATTCATTAGCTGCAGTGAGATGTGTGGCAGGGCAGGGGGGCCCAGCAGCACTGGAACACTCTGCTCCTTCAACGCCTGAGTCTGCCTTCGCTATGGAGACACGTCAGGCTTCGTACCACCGGGGAGAAGGAGGAGCTCCAACCAGATGAACAAGAACTTCGGAAATCACATGGTCAGCATGACGCAAGGGAAGAAAAAGAAGCATGGGGTCCCGGCTCTGCCACTTACTTGCCTGGTGACCCTGAGCAAGTCATTAAACTTCTCTGGATCCGAGTATGTTCCTCATTTGCCATATCACTGGTGGTTGTTGAGAACATCACATGAGACACCCATGTGACAAAGCTTTATAACTATCCAGTGATCACAGAGCCAATGCCTGCCCAAACAATGCCTTTGTCTCAATTAGAAAATCATTTCTCTTCCTCTGGGCAGACACAGACCCTCACCTGGGCATACATTTTTGGCGAGCAAAGAGAGGGCTGCATTTCAGTCTCCATTTCCTCCTCAGCTGGGCATCCTCGTGCAGTGAACAACCTGGATCATGCATCACGGCAGCCCTGCACTATAATAGCCTAAGTTGTTTTATTGACTCTGGGCTGCTGCTTCCACGAAACTGGTCCTAGAGAGGGCATCTTGGATGAGTTACACAACGGAGGACACCAAGAACACCATCTTCCTCTGAGTCTCACTTTTGCAGCATGTAAAACCCTTTATTGCATTCATTTTTGACATTCAGCTCTGCCTACTAGATTGTAAGCCTTCAAAGCAGAAACTTTTATTCATTTCCATTCCTCAACGCATAGCATAGGGCCTGGTATAGAGTAGGCACTCAATAACTACATGTTGTGTTA